GCATAATTTACATGGTGGTGAGTTGGAGACAAATGAAGTCACCTAAAGGGGAAGTGACATATGGCTGTTACTTTCCATTGGGTGGTCATGCTCAATGATGAGTATCCCCTGAGGAGAGAGACCTGAAGGGAGTAGGGAGACTAACCATTTTGGTATCTGAGTGAGGAGCATTCTAGGCAGAAAGAAAGGCATGTGCAAAGGTCCTGATGCCAGAAAGGATTCGATAGATTTCCAGATCGTGTGGCTGGAACAGAACATTCAAGGGCAAAATGGTAGAAGATGAGGTTAAAGAAGTACCTGGTCATGTGATGGGCATTTGAGCCATTGGGTATTATTCAGACTGCAACAGAAACCAATCTTTTTGCGTGTGTCACTTCTGCTGACATTTGTCTCACCTATCATACATTGACTTCTTGCCTTACAAAAGCTCTGCTGGCTTTGTTGCCTGACCCTGCAAATCATGTTGTGTGGACTTCACTGCTCTAGCCAAGCACAGAACCATTAACAATTAAAATACTTAGGTGATGAATGAATTATTGGTGTGGCCCAACATATGAGGTTGGGGTCAGTCCTAGTCTATTCTAAAGGAATGATGAGAAGAAAGTCTGATGAGCTGTATTGTTCATCGTGCCATTGCTTAACGTGCCCGTCTGTGTGCCTTTCTCCTACCACTGGACACAGAAGTAATCAGCTTTACTTGGTGCTCCTTTTGTCCATTGGGAGTGAAAATATCACTGGAACTGGATTCAAAATGTCTGGCACTGGAGTTTCAGGACATGAGTTTTGGAACTAGACAGATCTCAGTTTGTGACGGATTAATCCATCTTCCTTTGTAACTTTTAAAGTAGGGATAAAAAAAAGTATAATATGTAAGAGTTAGAATTATTTGAATAAAGAATTTATCACGACACCTAGCACTTAGCAAATGCTAAATAAATATTATGATTTTTAAAAATGTATAATAGATGCTTGAGCATCTGATGAAATAACTTCACAATCAGCAGGTATTTATTACGATCTGTCGGGGACTTTCCACAGTTAGGTTTACATTATGGTTATTTTTCCCAGTGTGTAGTCTCACACTCATGTGTGTATTCCTTGAGGTAATAATGATAAGCATGTGATTTTTATGCTCAGTATCCAATACTCTGTATCTGAAAAGGTAAAAGCTCAATAAATGTGTGTTGAGAGCATGAGCAAAAAAAAAAAAAAAAAAAAAAAAAAAAACACCATCACTACTCTGCCTGGGATTCTAGTGCCACTGGCCACTCAGAAACTCACAATTACCCAGTCTGATTTGATTAGTATGGACCAAGAATCCCAATTCCAAGGCTAGATCTAGAGGGTCATACTTTTTTTTTTTTAATATATTTTCCATTTGGAATGACTCAACTGTCAGAATTCCTGAGTGGTTTGACACCTGCATCAGAAGAAAAATCTCAGATTTATCTTTAAAAGAGATGGCATCAAAGTCTTTGATTTGAAAATCCAATAATAACCAGAGGAAAAGTATATTTAAAACCCACAACTGTACTACTATCTCTAGTTTCAAAACATGCTATGGCCTAAATAAAGTTCCCCCACAAAATAGTAATTATAAAATTTTAAAGGCCTTATACCTTAGTATTTCATGTCAGCAAAACTAATATCAAGGGGCTTAAATTCTCTCTGAGACACCAATATACAAGATACAATACCCCTTCATACAATCAACATCAGAAATTCTCAGTGATGTATGGTATCATCAAGAGTGTATAATAGGAGAAAGTTCTCAACTTCCACAGATTTTACCTTCACTACCAAGGTTTGCAATCTATTGGGAGAAATTTATATATTTATACATAGAACAACTGGAGAGATTTCAACGATATAGAGTGGAACAAATGTACTGCCTTTTTAAATTGTTCTCAACTGATCCAGGAAAAGAAGTTGTTCATATAAGACAAGTTTGGTTCACAAAAATTTCCCTTTAAACTACACAACCAATAAAAAGTTAAAATCATATTTTTAAGAGCACTTAAGTTTTTTTTTCAATTCTAATCTTCTAGTTCTGTGGCATTACACTACTCATTGTCCCAATGTTTGAAAATTCAAATAATTCTGGCATTACAATTCTGTCTAACCTTAAAACAGAAATGAGTTGAAAAGCAGTTGTAGAGCGGAACAACTGAAAATCCTAACAAATACAGGAGAGCCTGATAGGAGGGCAGGGGTAGCAACTGCAGCAGATGGTGCTTCCTCCTTTCTCATGAGTGTCAGGCACTTGCCCTATACACATTGCCAATCCTTCCACTATTATGAAGAGCAGAAGGCAGGAAGAGGGGGCGCTATTGTGCTGGGCACTTCTAGTAACTACTGCACCAAAAACACCCAGCCCAACCCAAGGAAGCAGGCTGTTTCCAATTCTTAAAGCCTTCAGGGACCTCTACCAGACCTTAGTTTCACAAAAGGGCTAAACATAAGTAACATATGCAAACACTCGTTGCAGGCCCGAGTAACTTAAAAGAAAATCTTCACAATGTGAACCACCGTAGCTTCAACATCAGAAAAAAAATAGCTTTGACTTGTTCAATTATTGGCTTAAAATGCAAAAATAACCCACTACATCTATACGTACCAAAGTTTAAAAATGTGCTCCTATTATTGCCGAAAACAAAAATTATTAATCTAGTGTTTCATACAATATTTGGGAAAGTACCTGAAATTACAAACACAAGGATGACTTGAAAATTTAAGGAGTGGGAAACAGACAAACCTTTCCATCTAAAAAATTTTCTTGCATGCCAAAACACTCCAAAATATTTTTATGTATGGCTTTAGTTAAACATTATACAATCCATTATGTGCACACTTATCTACACTAATAAAAGAGAAACATGGGCCGAAACCGGTTTGGCTCAGTGGATAGAGCGTCGGCCTGTGGACTGAAAGGTCCCAGGTTCAATTCTGGTCAAGGGCATGTACCTTGGTTGCGGGCACATCCCTAGTAGGAGGTGTGCAGGAGGCAGCTGATCGATGTTTCTCTCTCATCGATGTTTCTAGCTCTCTATCTCTCTCCCTTCCTCTCTGTAAAAAATCAATAAAATATATTAAAAAAAAAAAGAGAGAGAGAAACATGGTAATTGGCGTACGACCGCTACCCTTCCCATTGGCTAATGAGGGAGATATGCAAATTAACTGACAGCCAAGATGGCGGCCGGCAGCCAGGCAGCTTGAAACTAACATGAGGCTTGCTTCCTTCAGTGAAGGAGGACTCCAACATTCCCAGCCTGCGCTGCCGGCCTCTGAGCCTGCAGTTTGAACATTGTAACAAACATAGAAGCTAAAAAAAACCCCATAAACCAGCTTTCAGCGAGCTGGGATCTCAGAGCTGGAGTCAGAGCTGGAGTTATACATTGTTTCGAACCGAAACAAACCAGATACCTACTTTCAGCAGCGGAGGCCTAAGAGCTGGAGCCTCAGAGCTAAAGCTGGCCCAGAATTAAAAAAAGAAAAAAGAAAAAAAGGAGAGGTTGGGAGCTTCCGTCACCCGCCAGCCTAAAAACAGCCCTCAGCCCCTCACCCAGACTGGCCAGGCACCCCAGTGGGGACCACCACCCTGAAGGGTGTGTGACCAGCTGCAAACAGCCATCATCCCCTCATCCAGGCTGGCCAGGCACCCAAGTGGGG